GCAAAATTAGTGAAAGAAAAGGAGTGAACAATATGGTCAGATTATGCACTCAAGGTAGGCGGTGGCGAAGGGCGATATTGGTGTCTGAGAGAAAAAGGAGGAAGAGAGAGGAGGAAGGAAATGGGTTAGGAGAGACGAGGAGAGGAGAAAAGGAAGGAGAGTCAGACTTAGATCTGGAGAGAAGGAAAAGAGAGAAGGAAATGATGGTATTTTTGACTTTTATGTTTGTTTCTCTCTATTTGTGCTTAGTTGGTATAGAGTAAATGACTAAATCACATAAAAAGAGTTGAATCACATGAAGTGATATTTTTTGGGACTAAACCATAATGAAAAAAAAATGAAGAGTCCAGATTATATGAAATTATTACTTTTAGAGTCTTGACATAATTTTCCAAAAAAAAGGACCACATAATTTCATATACATTGGTTGATCAAAAGTGAAGATTCCATCTCATTTCATCAAAGCAATTAATGAAACAAGTTACTCAGAACGAGAAACTAAGCCAGCTCATGTTATGTTCAGAATAGTTTTAAACTTATTTTTTAGAGAGAGGACAAAAATTGTCAATGTCTTTTTGTACGTGGACCCCTATTGGTGACCAATAGAGATGATGGTTGCGGACTGTTCACTGTGACGCCAGATTGTTTGGTACGATACCGACTCTGAAAAGCACTTCCACACTTTTATACCGAGGGAAGTCATAAATGGAAGTAGTTGGTTAAAAAAAAGATTTTCATATATTGCATCAAAATGGCACACAAGTTCGCAAATTCTCAGCCCATTGTGTTAAAAGACACATCAATAGACGTCTTTTCATACTCATAAACTTAAAAATTAATGTACTCTGATTCAAAAACAGACATTTTCTGATACACTACAAAGAACTAAGACCGTCCTATGCTTTCTCTTCCAAAATCTCAAAATTCCATCATCCAACTATTTTTTTTAGGCGTCACAGGCACACCATCGGGCACACCTCCGATCACCCCCTCCCCCCTCTAGCTACAGTGCAGGAGGGCTCACTTGAGATTTTTTAAAAAAAAACACAAATGGGCCCCCCTGCACTGTAGCTAGGGGGTGGCCGGAGGTCTGCCCGAGGTTGTGCATGTATCATTTTTCCTTTTTTTTCTACCAAAAAATCAAGCTTATTACCCCCCAACCCCAAGGAAAAAAAATTCATGACATCCCACAAATCAATCATCCAAAAAGCAACCAATACTCCCTCCTACAAAAAGCCAATCCCTACTCACAATTTCATCCCAATAAATCAACCATCATACTCCCCCACACACACAAAACTATGCGCAATGCAATACTCGCAGCAAAAGTAGTTGAGAATCCCCACGTAAAACCCCACCTTAAATCCCCCCCTCCTCTCCTCTCCTCTCCCCCCTCACAAAAAAAAAAACTCATCAAACAATTAATGGAGCTAGCACTGCTCTCCCTCTTCATTCTCCTCTCGGTTGTTTTCCTACTCACCCTCCTCAGAAACATCCACGACCGAAACAAACACAAGCAATGCTACCTCATAGACTACGTCTGCTTCAAACTCCCCACCGATCTCTGCGGCGAGATCGTCCGGCGCAACAAACTCCTCGGCGTGCCCGACTACCGCTTCCTCCTGAAGGTCATAGTCAGCTCCGGCCTCGGCGAGAACACCTACGGGCCACGCAACATCATCGTCGGCGACGAAACGTCCCCGGCCCTCTCCGACTCCCTGACCGAGATGGACGAGTGCTTCGACCCCACCCTCGACTCCCTCTTTCGGAAGACCGAGGTTCGTCCGTCCGAAGTCGACGTGTTGGTCGTCAACGTGTCCATGTTCTCCCCGTCTCCCTCGCTGTCTTCGAGGATTATAAACCGGTACAAAATGAGGGAGGATACCAAAGTCTTCAACTTAGCCGGGATGGGGTGCAGCGCCAGTTTAATATCCCTGGACTTGGTACAAAACCTGTTCAAATGTTACAAAAACAAGCTGGCTGTAGTCGTCACGTCCGAGTCGATCGCGCCCAACTGGTACTCGGGGAATCACAGGTCCATGCAGCCGGAACTGCTTGTTCAGGTCGGCGCTGCGGCGATCTCTACTCTCCACACCGTCCGAAGCTGAAAGTCTCGCGAAGTTCAAGCTCGCCGCAGCCTCGTCCGCACCGCATCTCGAGGCATAGCGACGAAGCCCAACAACTGCGCCCGTCCCAACCGGAGGACGACGAGGGGCGCTGGCGGGTTTTACCTGAGGGCAATGGACCTGCCGAAGGCGGCCGCCGCGGCTTCTGCCACGAGAACTTGAGGGTCCTGCGTGCCGAAGAGTCGTGCCGCTGTGAGAACTGGTCCAGGTATCGTGTTTAGAGATGCGCCGCCGCGAGAAGGCGCGCGGTGGGTGCGGTGTCGACCTGAAAGGCCGGGGTCGTCGAGCATTTCTTGCGTGCAACCGGGGGGGCGGCGGTGATCGAAGGGTGGGGAGGAGCCTCGGGCTGACGGAGAGCGACCTCGAGCCGCGGAGGAGACGCTGTCAACCGGTTCGGGAACACGTCGGCAGCCAGCGTGTGTACGTGCTGGTGCATGGAGGGCAAGAGGAGGCTGAGGAAGGGGGAGGGGGTTTTGATGATAAGTTTTGGGGCGGGGTTCAAGTGTAACAGTTGCTTGTGGGTGGTCGTGAAGGATTTGGAGGGTGATGCTGGGGTTTGGGGGGATTGTATTGGGGAGTATCCTCCTAAAACCCTAACTAATCCTTTCATGGAGAAGTACGGATGGGTCAATGAGGAGTGATGTGTGTGTGCTTGCGTGTTTTCGCTCCCTGATGAAGGATTAATGATAGTTAGCATTTGGTGATTATATTTTTAACTATATACTTTGCTTGAGAGTACCCGATGCTTATGATAAAGGGAGGCACTACAGGCACACCCTCGAGCACACCTCCGGACACACCTCCGTCTCTACCTACAGTGCAGGAGGCCCCACTTGAGATTTTTTTAAAAAAATCTCAAGTGAGCCCCTACACTGTAGATAGAGAGGGGGTGTGACCGAAAGTGTGCGTGTGCCTCTATCATTTCTCTACGATGAATAGCTAAGAGTTGTGGAGAAAGAGCGTATAGTTTTCGCATTGATCATATATATATTTATAATGAGCATTCAAGTCGTGTGGCTTTATGCGTTACGAAGGATTCATTCCTCGTTAATTTATTTTTCTTTCAGAGAATGGGAAGGGTTCATACTTCGTAGTAGCGTATGGTACTCCCCCCAATGTTTCAATTCTTTTGCTTTGAAAGTACCTACTATTTACGATGAATAACTGCGTCCAGACAAGTGGAGTACGATATCAAATCTCTATTGATTGTAGATCTTGACTTGCGTTGAGTTGAATTTGAAGGGTTAGTTAGTCATCGATCTCAGGATGCAGTAGTAGGAACAACGGAGCAGAATAATAAAAAGAATGAGAAGTAGGAGTTGGGACAAATCCTTTTCTAAAAAGATTATGTTTTATCCATATTTAGTTCATCTTTGTATTCAAAAAAGAACATATTTTTTTGTGGTGATGAAGGGGTTATTTGAGGCGGTACAATTGCAGTTAGGGGTGCTAAACTGTATCCATATACGAGGAATTATCCGTAACTGTATCCGTTAGGATACGGATATGGTTATTCAAATCTATAACCGATAGGATATGGTTTTGTAGTGAAATATTTGAGTCCGTATCCGAAATATCCGAATACATATTAATCATCCTCTTACGATAGTTTTAATTCTTAGATTATGGATTTGTGGTAATTTTGATGATCAAGATGTCTAATCTTAATTTTTCAGTTATAATGGACATATTAACGAACTCTTTTGCATCACATGAACTATATTTTTCTCAATACCATCTACTTTTTTTTGTCCGGTTTTAACGGATATGATTATGAATTTTTTTTTACCGTGGTATATCTGTATCCGTATCCAAGATGGATAAACAGATATGAATATGCTGAGCATCATATACTAGCCGTATCCGGACCGAATGCACCCCTAATTGCAGTGGTTGCTTTCCGTCATAAATAAAGCAAAGCTTCTTTTTTAGTAGAGAGGGACCCCCGTTATAATGGCCTCACTACAAACATTCATGTTCTTGGCGGTGACCTTTGATGGGCATCAATTAATGGTAGGGAGTGGGGTACCGCATGAACAGTTAGTTATTTACTTACTCGGTGAAATGTAACTGAAATTGTTTATTTGGCCCTCGCCTCATTTGGCCTAATGGAGCAATTTATACCCATCATCTCAAGGTCCACACTAGGCATCTGGGTAAAATAATTCACTCCTGTAAAATTTAAAATTTGATTATCTCCAACTAGATTCTCAATTTCTAGTAGTTCTGTAACCAGAAACCAGAAAAGGCTTCAGGATGTTTTATATCTAAGATTTCAAAATTAAGCCTCTTCGTATTAATTATTTATCTATTTTAGTATCAAAGAAAATTTTATCTTCTCTGGTTGGTGACACATCAAGGAATTGTGACCTCCTTGCAATTACTATGAATGCATTTTAGGTGAAGCTACCCACGGATCACGTAAAACTTGCCAATTAACTGTGGATCTATAAAAATATGGTCCAGGTTCAACCTAACGAAGATAACTAAACCTTAACATACATAAAAATAAACAAAGCCTACATTAAGGGCCAGTTTGGATAATGAAAGTATTAAAAATAAAAAGTAGGTTATAGAAGTAACTTTTAAAGCTATGAAGTAAGAAGTAGTGAAAATAGTATTTTTTTTGTTTGTTTCATATATTTTTAGAAATAATGAAAGTAGAACTTCTTCCTCTTCATTTACTTTTTTTGTTTGGATAACATTTGAAAATATTATTAAGAAGTAATTTTATCAATGAAAAATTGTTAGAAGTAACTAATAAAGGAAATATTAATAAAAAAATTTATTTATGTCATAATTAATATGCATTTCAACTACTTCCGAACAACTTCTGAGTATTGAGAATTGGAAAAATATTTTAAAAATAAGGATGATACGTAGGCGCCACAAAAACATTTAGAGAAGTATTGGAAGTAAGTTTTTCAGAGAACCAAACACACTTTTTTACTTGGAAGTAGCAAAAGTAGCCTCTACTTCTTTTACTTCAGCTACTTCATAATTACTTCTGTGCAAACAAACATGCCCTAAATATTGACAATTACCTAATCCGGAGAATTAGTTTCTTTAACAGAATTCTGTGTATTGTTCCAAATGAAACCATTAAAGCGCTGCCATAGTCTGGCTGCTGCTACATCATATTTTTCCATCCATTCCAAATTTCCAATAGCAGATTCAAATGAAGAGGAAGAAGCAACATACCTCCTACAAAAATGGCAATATAAATAAATCAACAACATTAACACAAGTAGTTGGGCATGCCAAAGAAAACCCACAAAGATTGGGATTTGATCCCTGTCACGCTCAGTCTATACTACATCAGGGTTAAAAATCACCAATGCCAAAATCACTCTCAGATTGATCGCTGGAGGGCGATTACAATGAGAAACTGTTGTTATATCAGGTGCAATCAGCACTCTCCTTCGGCATCCGAGGAATTGTCCTCCTCCTCCATGGTAGTATTTTTACATCTGCATAATGACCGAGGAATTGGCCCATCCACCCGAACCACCCAAGGATGCTCGGCTGCAGCATCTAATGTCAGCCTGTGCCTAGGATCTGCATTACAAGAAATGTTTAAAAGGATGTTACAAATTCTTTAATCAGCAGAAGTTTAAATTTCTACATTTAGATCATAGTACGCAAAATGGAACATAACAAAAAAAACAAAATACAAATTATTTTCATTTAACAAAACAAAATACATGTATTAAAAGAAATATTACAAAAAAACAGATGATGTCAAAATGGGTTGAATGGAGATGCATATTTAAAACAATATCGTTTGATAATATGAATGAAAAAAAAAATTGTTATAACCCAAATGTATCTTTATATACATATCCACACAAATGTATTATCCTATATTGATAAATAAGAAACAATTTTTTGTATTTATTTAGCTTATTGTAGATCATTTCATGGATAAATAGGTCTAATCAATGACTATGTCACAACTGAACTTTAAAAATTGTTAAAAGCATAATATTAACAATTTATTGATGGTGATACTAATTTTTTTTTCAACAAGAACAATAAAAAACAAAAATAACAATTGTTCAAAATGGGTTTAAATTACTTTTCACACAAGAATTGACATCAAACCAATGATCTTTTGTATAAAATGGAGTTTTGCTATTATTGTCTAAGCACATGAAATAGAACTCAGAGAAGTTGAGTCAAGCTGAGTAAGAAGAGTTAAAATGACAAGACAACACAGATCAGCTAGATGTAGTACAGGTACAAAGGTTAACATAGCGGCACTGCAAGCGTGGCTCAGTCGTAGAGTGAGAGGTTAGGTTATGTAAGGTCTCATGTCCAATATCAGTCTACCATCTTCGCTCCAGGAGGGGGGAAAGGTAGAACTGAATACTTGGATAATGGGCTAAGTTCATACAGTTCAGTTGTTTTGAAACTTTGAGCAGTCAGGCTCTATGTTACGTCGACTCAGTTTGAGATTGGAGACTCTGGTGAGGGTCTAGTGTCTATGTCAATTGTCAGGCAGTATCCACTGATGTGCTCACACCAGAAACCACATCAACACATGTCAGCTTCCTTTTCCTAACCAAAGCCGTGCCACATCAAGTGTCAGTCTTCATGACATGGAAATGGTCTTTCTGGTTTCTGAGGAATGAAATAAAGCATGGAGATGGTCTGGGTAAAATCTTGGATTATGTAGCCTGCCATTTTTTGGCTGTATGTAGGCCAATGCTATTACTCCAGTGGTACCCCGGTCAGAATTTTGTTAAGCATTTCCCACATTTTGTTTTATCAGGATTCTTAGATCCGATGATGGAAAAAAGGAAAGTTAAAAAATGTTCTGAGTCTAGAATCATGAAACTGACCTTTCGAAAGTAGTCTCTCGAGCAAGTCTTTGAGCTCAGGATCAAGCTCTTCAGGAATACATAATGGACGGTTAACTATCTGAAAACACAGTAATGTTGAGGGGACAAAATTAAGACAGTGCAATAAGATATCTAAACTAGCGGTGGTGATATAATAAAAAATTAAGGAGCTTAAGCTAGGAAGTACCTTGTCATAAGTATCTTGCAGACTTTCCCCAATAAATGGGCACTTACCAAGTATCATGCAGTACAATGTAATGCCCAGAGCCCATGCATCCGCAGCTTTACCGTTATAACTAAAACCTGGTAAAGAGGTTTTTAACATATGGATCAATTGGTGAAAACTGAAACTAAAACATGCATAAATTAATTAGTTCTCTGGAAACTTATGGCTTGGCAATGAAAATATTACCTAAACAACATTCGGGTGCAGTAAAAACTGGAGTTCCTGGAGACCTCCAGATATCCTCATCGTCATCCTGCATGAAAGTAAATAAAAGTTTGGAGGCTAAGTAGCCAAAATATCATAAATCAAGAACAAAACAAGTGAAGCCTTTACTATAAATCAGGTAAGCTTAGTCAACTTCTCTAATCCACTATGCCAAGGGACTGGTTTAGTCTATTTTCCCTTCTTTCTTATTCTAAATCTACAATTTATTTCTTCTCTACTCCCTTTAGTTGTAAGTAGCACATAAACCTCGTCCTAAATATGCCTAGCAGAAAATTTTAAGAATATGACATCAACAAATGGGATGACTGTGACAGAGAATGGATATATCTCCTCTAAATGTTGCCATCTTAATGCAATTCTATTAACTATATCCTTAATCAACTAGATATAACAACTATTTCTTTTCAAATCCACTAGAATATCTTTGGTAGATCCTGCCATAAGCCATTTCTGGACCAAGACAACCATATTATCTCATCCTTTAAGACTTTCAATCAATAGTTAACTATGTAGAAGATTAGACCTCACTTACAAACAGGAATACATTTCAAAAATGACAAATATTCCATTTGTGCATCCCCCTTCCCTTTTATGATGCATTGTACAATCCATAAATTTGATTCAATAGATAGTTCGTACGACTTTGTATATCCCACGAATTCTTTTAAAAAATGCATCTCATTTGTTGATTACGCATACATTACAAGTCAATAAACATGTCAAACATTTGCAAATCAAGATAAGTAGTTGCAATGGTGCAAGCCATAGGGAAGAGGAAGGGACAATTAAACCAGAAGTACGACATATAAACACCAAAACAATGGTCAATATCACTGAGAAAATCAAAACGGTAAACTTACCTCAAGAGCTTGGCTAACACTAAAATCACCAATCTTAACAGAACCAGTTCCTGTTACCAACAGGTTTTCAGGTTTAATATCTCCGTGCACAATGTCCTGCCAACAAGACAATAAAATTTGTTATGCAAATCAAAAGCTTGTAAAACTCCCTTCTCCGAATGTCTAAAAAGTTGCTAGCAGAAAGCTATAAGGTAGCAATGAACTCCAGTGATATATCACTAGCATAACTGTTTTAGCATGTGCTATTCTTTTTCGAATTTCAAACCCAAAAATGTGTATTCTTCGCAATTGACATAGCGCAATGTTAAGCTAGGCGCGAGCAGAGATAAGCAAGAGACATGTAATGGCTTAAAAAAGAAATACAATAGGCTTAAAGCAATTAACAAAAATTTACTCCGGAAACACTAAAATCGTTAAATAAATAAATCATAATATTCGATAGCGTAACTTTAGAGTATAAAGATTCAGCCTTGTTTCTAGAGTAATTAGCTTCACATATGCTTCATAATCAACTAGCTGGTCTTCATATAGGTTAAGAGCAGGTTTTAAAATTGAACTAGATGTTTGTGACAACTCAAGACAGAGAACTGCAGTTTCCATTTCTCCTGCAGTCAGATGCTACTGTTCAATGCCCCTTAACTCCCAGCAAGTCACTCAAACCCTTCATGTCATGCTATTGCAGTAAATTAATAATTTAGAAATTAGAATTGTTATATATAACTGATGTCATTCGCAATTCAAAAGTCAAATTCATTAGTCACTCACAGTTACTGCACCCATCAACCAGAAAAAGAGTAACAATATAGAAAAAAGAAGAGAGAACTCTTGGTTTCAAAAGATTTTCAGGCTATCCGCAATTAGACCAGCATCATTTTTCATGATTTTACCATGAAAACATAACTTAGGTATGCCACATCTTCAAAGTATAAGGAGTACTACTCTAGCACAGACAAAACAGAACACGTGCTAGAAGATTACCTGCTTTGTCAAAGTTCATAGAATCATTATGATCAATAGGAATCTAAAGCCCACAGAAATCTCAAATCAAACCAGGGGAAAAAATACGCTTGTGAAAAATTGCTAAGAACTTTATGCTGATAACTCACATGAGAATGTAGATACATTAACCCAGCAATTATGTCCCGCAGGTATTTTCTAGCAGTGGTTTCTCCTATCCCTCCACACGTTCCTGAGGCATCACAAATCCACTTGCCCTCCACATATTCTAAAACTACAAACAGAAAGCATTATTGTTAAATCACAAATTTCCAAAAGAATTCAGGCCGAGTCCAGGGATATACAAAGAACACTGGAATTGCATAATAATTTTACCCATATAAAAACGATCTGATTCTGAATCATCAATCACCTCAACAAGATTTACTAAATTTGGATGCTCTAATAATTTCATGATGGAAACCTGAGAAAGATGGTAAAGTCACTAAACTCTTCAATAAAATGCTCCAAGAGCAAATTAATGTAGGAAAATTACAATAAAAACTAATGTAGGCAACTAAAATAAATGAAGCAAATAACAGTATACTTGTTCTTTTCCTCAACAAAAACTTGTAAGCACATAAAACCAAGGCAATCAGAGGCTGGTAAATGGAAAACATATCCTTGAATAGATAGAGTTACACAATCTGCAATCAAGAAATCTTCGTCTCATCATTGGAGTTCTATTTAACTATGTGGTAAGAAACTCTTTTCATGGACTATAACTGACATAGTGCAACCACTGCAATGCTAGATGCTTCTCTCAAACTACTATAGTGTAATTACTAGACACCTTAAATATTAAAGACAAACAAAGATCCCATCAAGCCACAGAAGGAACAATGGGCCACAGAAGGAATAATGGACCACAGATTCAGACAATATTTGGAAAGCCTAACCCCAGCATCTAACTTCTTGAGCAACATATTTATGATATTAATTATGGTGTCATGATTAACCTGTACCTCAAAGAGGTTATAAATAAAATGTAAAGCACAGAAACATATCTAATTATAATTTTTGTTCATTATTAAAATTTTCAGAATTCCTGGGCCTAATATGTTGAAAACCACACACACACAGTGTGTGTGTGTGTGTGTGTGTGTGTGTGATGCTATATTGCTATCAAATCCTAAAATAGAGAGCGGCACAAATATTGCACAAGTCAGCACAAATTGTTTTAGGAGTTAGGGTTATTTCTAGGGTTTCAGTATTGTTGTGTCATTAGATTTGGACTAGGTTTTGGATTTGTACTTGGAGCATAACTAGATTGGAATTAGGATTTGGATTTGGATTTGGATTTTGGGTGTTAGTAGTAGTCTAGGACTGGAATTTATACTAAGGAGAACAAAATCCAAATCTTAGTCCTATAGTCCTAAACTCCTAATGTTCGGCCATATACATATATACATATGCATATGCATACGCATGCATATACGAGATAAATCCTTAAAATTTATCCAAGTCAATTATTGTTGACTAATCTCACCCTCCAAGGATTTCCTCCTCTTTCCTCTTCAACAGTTATCATCCCCCTCTCTACTTTGTTGAGTATCAAACTGCGCTTGAAATCCCTACCATAAGACCAAACCTATTTTAACTTAAATGCTCAGAATTTGTATAGTTAGGCGATAACTTTAGATTTCCAAATTCAAAACAAAAACACTCAAAATCCATTCGGTTGTTCTAAGAGATTCTCTATGCTCCCATCACGTGACGAACCGGAGAAGACCTGTAGTAAAAGTGTATAACCTTCTCCCTTCCTCTCAATGAACTCTTTTCATCTTGACAAAATTGTTGATTTCTATGTCTCAATCAATCTTTATCTCACAATGTCTTGTCATCTCCAAACTGATGACTACAATGACCTCAATGACAAAACATCTTCGATCTTGGAGAGTAAAGTAATTTGTCATGAAACCAGCTTTCTCCCTGTTAACCTTGTTTTCTCTTGGACAAGAAAATATTCTTTATCCACTCTATTATTGTTCATATCAAACATTCTAGCCAATACCTTCCATAAGAAAATCACTGATGTTTTCGCTAAATACCATGAACCCGAGAAATTGTCCTTAGAATTGTCTGGATCAATTTTTAGCTTACATATCGATACCGCTTGATAGGCTATTGCATGCAGAACTTGTCTTTTTAAGGTCTTCTTAGATTAAATCCCTACAATATCCATGTTTTAAAGTATCGGCATTAAATGCTATTTAAAGAAAAAAGGAGATTGAGTAGATGCAGTAACCTATCAGAAACCTAGGGGTTAGGCAGCCGTTTAAGTGGCAAGGTCAATTATCCGCTTCATTCTTTTTCCCCAAATCTAAATCAATGCTCCAAGTGCATGTATGTAGAAATCAAAATAAATAATGGTACCTGGTGTTGGTGCCCAAGCATGCAAGCCTTTTCCATTAAAATGCAGCTAATTATCAATGGGTTCTATAGAGATAGATTATGCTTTACAAATTGGATTTCCACTTAAACCTTTGCTCACAGTTCCTCTGGCTCCTCTTTCCAACTACAGGGAAGTTAATTGCTTCCCATATAGTTGTTTGTTACCAATTTTGCAGGCACATAACGAATTTCTAGAAAAAAAAATCAAGAAAGGTTAAAATGTTTTGAGCATTGACATTCGACGGCGTACTTATTCCCTTGGAACAATCCGCATGCGAACGGGTGGTTCCCAACCTTGAATGGGTTGGGTAGGGGGGCAAATCTGACATTTTACCCAACCCATTGAAGGTCAAGAATCACCTCCAGGTGGTTCTGAGGGGATAAGTATTCCCATTAAAGTAGAACTACTGTGAGAATATTAGCTAATGCCTTGTGTTTTTACAAAATCTAGATTACTGTTGTGTTATAGCTTAAAAGCATATATTTACCAAATCTACAACATAAAGAGTCACAAGAGTGCTGACTTGTACAGGTGACAAAAGCAAATCAACAACAATGCTGAAAAATCTACAGGTATTCACAAACAAATAAGAATAGAGAAGTTGAGTAGTTCTTACCTCTCTACGGACATCTGTCATTGCTGTTTCAAAAGATGTAACATGAACCTTCGACAAACGAGACTTGTAAAATGCCTGCACTAAAGTAACAAACTTAGTAGCATGAACCACAGATCTGATCAGTACTTACTGATCAAAATTCAAACACCACCGGGAAAATTTTCAAGATAATGTTCACCCAAAGAGTTTGCTACTAATTTTACAACATTTCAAGATAACGTTCTCCTATCTAGTATATTTAGTGGTCTCTGTTGTATATGACCAAACAACCTTAGATGATTTTCTCTCTTCAATAAGAGGAATCTATAATCTCCTATGAAAATGCACTCATTTCTTACCCTGTCTTTTAGTGTATAACCAAAGAAGCCCCTAACGTATTATCACTGGCAAAAGAAACCGCCAAGCCAGAAGTAACATTAACAAAATGACATCATGAAGTAGCGATACATAAGGAAATATATTAAACATCTGATGCATAATAAGAGTGCAAACATACTTCTATCGTAATGTAAGTGAAGTTCTAGACGCCAAAATGTGAACTCCTAGATGTGGTAACCAAACTACCAAGAGCGAAGCCATATAAAAGGTCCAATAAGGCCCTGGCTTCCCGGGATAGCCAAAACAATAATAGGTATTAGTATATAGTACTTTTTTAAACTATAGGGTCTACATTGTAAAACCCTCTAGCAAAATTAGCAGCCTCGTCTTTCTTTAAATTTTGGTTACTCATTGTATTATCAAACCATCTATCTTGACTACATATTGTCAAGTCAATTCAATTAGATATTATTCGAATCATAACTCGTCATTCATTACCCTACTCCCTATGAACTATTAAAAACCCCATAGCTGAACTAGGAGCAGAAAAGAAGAAGAAAAAACACTTTTCAAATGGAAGTTATTGGATCTAACCATATATATACACACGCACGCGCGCACGCACACATACAGACACACATACACACGCTATCAAGTATCAATAGTCACCATATTCATCAGTACAACTATCAGTTTAAGTGCTATCAATATAAACGATATCGAGAGACAATAGTAACTGCATTGGTGGCAGATAGTGATATGCATAATAAGATTTGTGATAAGCTTAGATGTCCTCATTCTCGATCTTCCATATGATTTTCTATAGGAGGCTCGCTTAAGGATTTTTTTTTTTTTCTTCCATCTAATTAGCAGCAAGTAGAGAGATCTCTAGAAGCCCATCAATTGGATGATTCAACTAAATGGGTTGATTAGTAATTTTTTGTTTTGACGGTATTTTGTTTCCTAAGTCATGACTGTGGCATAGATTTACTAAAGACTAATGTTAACCATATGATTTTTATACTACCACTAAATGAACAAATGAAACTAGATAGAATATATATTAACTTTTGTTATCCCTTGCATCATCAATACCATCTACCTAATCTCAATAAAGATCATATATTGTCACTGACACGATAATGTTGGGCCCACCATCATAAGTTCACAATGTATGAATTAAGCTGGTGGTCAATTCAACCATATATTATTCGAGTCATAACTCCCCATACATTACATTGTCACCCACCAGTTATAAAAACTCTATTGCTGAACTAGTGGGAGTAGAAAAATAAGGAAAAAACACGTTTCAAATGGATGTCATTAGATCTAACTATGTTGCTATCTAGACTTCGATATTATAGATCTTAATTCCATGGATGTCACTATCACGTACCAATGTAGCCAATACATCAATCAATACAACTATCAGTGTAATTGTTATAAATATAATCGATATTAAGAGACAACAGCAACTACACGGGTGGCAGACAGTGATATGCATATCAAGTTATGCGAAAATTTCCTCGTTCTGTATCTCATGGCAGATAATGATATGCATATCAAGTTATGTGAAAATTTCTTCGTTCTATATCTCTATATATGATGTTCTATAGAAGGCTCGCTTTAGGAATTTTTTTCTTCCGTCTAATTAGTGGCAAGTAGAGAGGCATGGTAATTGGATGATTCAACTAAATGGATTGATTAGTATTTTTTTAGTTTGAGGGTGTTTTGTTTCCGAATGTATAGTTTCGTAAGGGATTCGGGGAGGGAAAGGAAGGGAAATGAGGAGCTGGGGACAAAATTATAAGTTGCATTTTATTTTATGGTTTTGGGAAAGATAGAACAAAAACAAAATGATTATTATTCACTATCCCCTCAAATTGGGAGATAGTGAGTAACGTAGGAGAGGCAAAAGTGATGTTTCAAATGTTCTTTACACCTTTCCGTATTTCTTTGAACAGCAAATATTTTTAAATAAAAAAAGGTAATAAGCATTTTAACTAACTATTCACCTCATCTCCCCACCCTTCCTCAATCCCCCTACAAAACGCAAGGTAAGTCATGATTGTGACATGGGTTTACTTAAGAATAATGTTAACTATATTATTTTAATACTACCACTAAATGACAAAACTAATACTAAGTAGGATAAGTACTAACTTTTTTTACTCGTTTTATTATCAATATCATCTACCCCAAGGTTTTAAATGTCGGATGTCAGGTTCATGTCGGATGGCTGAAATCCATGTCGGCTAGCGAAAATCAGGGATATATCGAGGAACATTGACTAAATATTGGATTGTCATATCGGATAGTACGCATATGTATAATATCATGTCCTAAATGTAATCTAAGTATTCATCAATTCAATATAAGCATACTTTATAAATTCTATAAACTAAACATATAAAAAAGTAAATAATATATGGATTTGGGTTCATAAATTTTTTCTATCGGGTTCATAAGAAACCCTTAAACATGAGAACGGGTCAAATAGGTTTGGGTATTTATCACTAAACCCAAACCCGATAACAAAAAACAGATCTTAAAAATAATACCATATTGACCGATTTTTTAAAGCTAAAAATAGGCCGATATGCCTGATATGACCCTGATATTTTTGATTTGACCCTGAAAACCGACATACGAGTTGAAAACGTTCATGTAGTGTCAGTCAAGCCCTCAAACCGATATGTCGGCTGACATGTCGGACATGTCGGCCGACATTTAAAACCTTGATCTACCCAATCTAAATAGCGACTGCATATTGCCGCTGACATGATAATGTCGGACTCGCCATCATAAGTTCACGAGATATAAATTAAACTAGGGGATTAATTCAACCAGATACTTATCGGGTCATAACTCATCATTCATTATTCTACAGACCGCCGGTTATAAAAAATCCCTATTGCTGAACTAGAGGGAGCCAAAGAAGAAAAAACACTTCTCAAATGGATGTCACTGGATCTAACCATATTGATGTTGATCTACGTTTTGATAATATAGATCTTGATTGCATGGATATTGACGCTAGGCTTGCAATTCGCAATGTTAGAATAGCAACAAATAGCAACGTTGGAATACTAACACTAGGTTATATTACTACAACCAAATAGTAGCTGATATTCCTCTTTCAATGGCGCTACCGCAAATCAATCCCCGTAAGGAGCTAAAAACATACCTGATAATTAAATTTTATTAAAGAAAACTTTGTAATAATTTTTATTTTATATATTAACTTTTTTTCACGGTGGTACATGAGCACAATCAACTCAAGTTAGCACAGGACAACAAGGAATGGATAAACAATGATATGCTTAGAACAACACTTGGTACGAATAATTTATCTAATTGTTTCTAAGTCAGTGCTATGTTAAAAGTTCATCAATAACTTTCTGGAATCGTAAGCTCTAGAGCATTTACCAAGTAATATATTTTTATAGAACATTTGCTCTAGAAGTTTTGTTCTAGAAACTTTCAAGATTGTTAGGATTTTAATGTTAGTTTTAGAAAATTCTCTCCCCTCCATCCAACAACTATAAATAGGAGAGGAAATGGAGCATTTGAAGTAAGCAATCAACCAAACAAAGAAGCTTGTGAGTGTAAGTGAGCTTATGTG